AATTCTATTAGCATGCATAGAGGCAGGAGCCAGAGCTTGATTGAAATAGGATATCCTAACTGAGATGATCCAGTTAAAGTAAATTTACGTACAACTGCCAGTATCGTGGCTATTTCTTTTCAATACGCTGCTAAATCAACCTAATCCTAGGAGGGTTATTGATGTCTGTGGTATGACAGAATGCAAGCGGTGTATCTCTTTCACGTAAATCTATTTTACCAATAGATTGAAAACAGGTGATGTAGAAGCACACCATTTCCCAAAGTTAGGATTTAAATTCTTACTTTGTAAAAGGTTCGATTTTTTTTAAAAAAAGTCTTACTTACCTCTAACTTCTGAGAGTCTTTGCACAGCTCAGTTTTCAGTTCCTAGAGTTGTTGAAGATACATTGCTACATTATCATGTCAGACTTTATTATCTGTCCTGGATATTTGAGAGCCCATTCACCTGCTGAATAGAGACACTTCAAAAACCCGACATTGCCTTTTTTGCAGACATATTAGCTCAGAAGCTTTATCTTAAAAGCCGACCTGAAAGTAAAGTGAATCCAAATGTATTAGTTTTAAATGTGAAATATAGAACTATTCATCGAATATCAGGATTCAAAGGGACCTCAGGAGGTCATCTAGTCCAACCCCCTGCTCAAAGCAGGACCAATCCCCAGACAGATTTTCACCCGAGTATCCTACATGGCCCCCTCAAGGATTGAACTCACAACCCTGGGTTTAGCAGGCCAATGCTCAAACCACTGAGCTATCCCTCAGGAAATGTAGAAATGCAATAAAATGACTTGTTCACTAAGTAAATAGAAGCCAACTAAATATAAATCTAAGATATATAAATAAACCAGACAGGAAGCTAATCAATCACATATATAGCAGGTTTCCAATCATTGGAAAGTACATACTTCTGATTGTCTCACAATGAGCAACATTGTTACAATAGGTATTTAGTATTTTGCTTGTTTCAAGGATTTGGTAAAGTGATGTTATTAATTTTTGTGATTTCACAATTTTTTTTGTCTTCCCATTATTGTTTGAGATCTTTATAAAGAGATAAAGATGTTCAAGAAAACCATAAACACAGTTTTAAACCAAATCAGGGATCTTAATTCCTACCCAATAAGCAAACTATTTAACATCCTACCCTCAAGAGTCTTTTTTACTCTCAACAATGTCAGGAAAAGTTATATGGTCTTCAAGGAGTCACAAGACTCTGGTTTTGGAGAGGTTTTAAAGGGACAGCAGCAACTTTAAAATTACTCTTCAGTTTGTGACTGTACGTACGTTATTATTGTTAGAACAATAAATTTGTATTAAGACACCGAAACAAGGGGAGCTGTGACTGGTGTTGTTTATTACCAGAATTTTAAGTTACTCACCTATTTCTGATTTAGTTAAATAATGTCTAGATTTTGAGAGAGAGACTTGGAACAAGGAAGGGAGAAAGAGGTAAGGCTAACGTTTAGCAAATCTGCTGTAATATTGTCTTTCCTTTTGTTGAGTGCTGCCTGTCTATAAGAGCCCTGATAAATTCAAGGTAATTGCTCATGATATACAGGTGTTCAAGGTCTACTCTATACCAATGCATGAGTGATCATTCTTTGCTCCTCTGTTATATTAGTGCTGGATTAAATTAGAATCTGTATTTAAAAATAAGGTTTTTTTCCCTTAAGGTCTGCCAGCTTTTCCATTATAATCCTTTTTTTTTTTTAAAGTTTATTTGTTAGCTATTTTAAAACCGTTTCAGGTGGGACACCTGCCTTGGCAAATGTGCATGACCCTTATCCAGAATGATCACAGAGCTGCTGTGTGCCGAAGAGTGTGAAAGATAAATCAAGAGTAGCACGTATGTAGTGCTGGGAGACCTGTCATATACCAATAAGGTAGCCTTGGTACTGTGCACATTCATAAAGAACACTACTGTACTTCTTAATGCTTGTGACAAAGGAATTTCTTCAGTGTCTTCATTGGGGACTGTATGGCTCAGGGGCTTAGTGACAGACTATAACAATTTCAATCTCTAGGATGGTTGTTGGACTCCAGACAGGTAGTGGTTGCAATCATGTGGCGTATGTGAAATGAATTTGTGGTCTTTGTCTGGACAGCCATACATGTCACACAACCTGGCCTCTGTTATGCAGGAGGTCAGGCTTGATGATCATAATGACCACTTCTGACCTCAAAATCTATTGAAAACCCACAATTCCAATTGGCACTCCTTCCCACCCATGTTTGCAGAGAGGCCAAGGACTGAATATACACAAACTACCCTCTCGCCTTTATAAGCGTTAGGGTTGCTACAGCACGTCCATGAGATGGTTGGGAAAAACTTGAACCACTTGTACCTATGCTTTAGTTGCCTTGTGGATAGCAGAAGCCTTTATCCCTAGAGCTGGCTGTGTGGTAACTTCCCCAAGAAATGCGCTCACTGAACATGGTAAAAAACCCACAACTTTTCATCCTTCCTCCTTTTCATTGGGTGTTACGTTCCTGTTGACCATTTTCAGGATTAAAGTATCTTCCTGAACGGGCCTCTGGACTCGTGACTGCCACCAACTTTTCTGAACCACCCTCTGCAGCTCCTGCATCTGGTGCTAGTCACATAAGTGGCAAAACAAGTAGGGGAAAAGACACTGATGGAGTCCAGTGGCTCCCAAAGGAACAGCTGTCCAGATCATGGTACAATGGGTTTGCCTAGTGAGTGGGGACTCTGTCCTGCAAGTCCCTGAGGCACAGATCCTCAAAGGTATCTAGGGTCCTAACTTCCACTGATTTGACCCTAACCCAGAATTGTCAGAGAGCTATTGTATAACTGTGCACAGTGCATCAAAGGGACACACTGACAGGGCCGGCTCTAGGCACCAGTGTTCCAAGCATGTGCTTGGGGCAGCACTTTTCAAGGGGCGGCACTCTGGTTTTGTTTTGCTTCTGCGGGGGCACTCCGCCCCCCCCCCCCTTTTTGTGTGTGTGCTTGGGATGGCAAAAAACCTGGATCCGGCCCTGCACACTGATTTCAGTGAAGTTAGGAGCCAAAATACCTAAATTGAGGATTAGGGCCTGAGTATCCAGTGATTTCAATGGGAGTGGGTCAAGCCTTTATGTCTCAAAGTAAATCTGTGGAATCTGGAAAGAATGTAGCTAGAACTGTAGATTTCCTTCATTATTCTTCTTGCCTCTGTGTATGTGTGTGTGTGAATGCGTTCATTCTTCACTATGGCAAAAGCCTACCTAGTTCAGCTGTATTCATGACTTTCATTTTGTAATCACTCTATCGGACTTCCTAAATTGCCTTATCCTGTAGTTAAGCCCTAACCCACTCAAATCAGGCTACATTCTGAAATAAGTATTTGATCTCTTTGAATGCTAAATAACTGTAAAGGGTTCTGTGTGCCCAGACCTGGCTGAACCAGCATGTAGGTGTTGTGAGCAAAAGATACCAAACTTCCAAGAGATACTGGTAAATATAGATAACCATCCAACCAAGGGGCTTAATAACTGTATCCAAACTAATTCAGTAGGGGCTGATTGAATTATTATGGATGCCACATAAGGGAAGCAACAGTTCTCCCTTTCCCCCAATGTCTCCAAGTCCTACAGGAGAAAATCTTCTCAGAACAGGTGTTTGATGTATATCCTGGCTTGTCTTAGAAAATGAAATCTTGTGAGCCAGGGGTCGACCCTGGCTCTCCACATCTGGGAGTGTATACAGGCCAAACCATTCTGAAAACTCTATAGGAAGCATGCTTGAAAGGGGAGAGTGACAGCTTGAAAACTTTTCTTTCAATGGCATCAACCTGGTTGTCAATATGCCTCACTTTAGCATCTGGTTTAGTTCATTGTGCAGACATCCTTTGAAGTCTACTCTAATTCCTGAAAGGCAATTGATCTAGCTTTGGGGTTATCGCTCCCACCCCCAGAGGTGGTAGTTTCCTGGCTCACTGCGGAGTTTTTCTCTCTTGTGGTTTCAGAGTAGCAGCCGTGTTAGGTTGTATCCGCAAAAAGAACAGGAGTACTTGTGGCACCTTCCCCCGAGCATGCTCAAATAAATTTGTTAGTCTCTAAGGTGCCACAAGTACTCCTGTTCTTCTCTCTTGTGGGTTCAGCAAGGCAGCACTAGCCAAACGGTCAGTAGAATCCTGACATGCGGTGCAAAGAAGTTTTATCACTATCACAGCATTATTACATATTTTCTACTGGTTTTAAGCCCTGAGTGTCTGAGGTCGTCTCTTTGCAGGCTTTGGTCAATAAGTTGTCTAGGCCAGTTGAATTTTAAAGATGATGAGCTTTTTGCCCAGTTGGGCCCTAAGGCAGTGGCATCGTTAGGGAGTTTTGCTCTATTCTGTCTGGCTCTGAATGGTGCAGTTTTACCCGAGTTTTTACACAAGATTTTCATGGCAAACACTGTAAGGATTTAAGAGCCTATTGTGAGTTAGTTTGTGTACTAGTACCGATCAAGGTGTGTGTGAGTGTGTCATATATATGTATAGTGTGTGTGTTTATATACACACCCACACACATGTATAATCACTCTCTACAGATAGATATAACATGCACTATTATATACATTGTGTGTGCATATAATTCTTACATGTGCTGATCTGCTTGCAGAATGTTACAAGTGCTCTGTTTTGTTGGTATTTAAACTCTCGTACCTTGTCTACACCAGGAAAATTAGTACCCACTTTTCAGCAATAGGAGAGCTGCACTGTTGCTACTGAAAGTGTAATAGCATACCATGGCAGGTTGTCATCACACACTAGTAAAAACACCAGAGCACAACCTGTACTGCAGCCTCCATTTTTACAGCCCCTCGTGGGAAATTACAGGTCCCAGTTTTCCCCATTGTAGTCAAGGCTCTAGACAGGACCAAACCATTTTTCACACCGTTACACAAAAAGTGACTGAGAGCTGGTGGAACACAGAATACTCCATGACTGAGTTTGTTTTTTGCTGAATTATTACCCAATAAAGAAAGGCAGGATTTCATATAGTGCTGATTTATTATTGGTAAGCTCTATATTGCACTCCAAATAGAGTAGTGTACAGAAAACCAATCCTTTACATACAGAAAGCCAGAAACATTAAGCTGTAGAAGTAAGCTTTACATTTAGAGGGGATGAAAATTGGTTAACTTTTACATTTATCTGTAAATTTCCTTAACAGACAGTTTGGTGCTTCTCTAATCTTCTCTCCCAAATAGCACATAACAAGTGAATCAAATAACGAAGAGACCATGGCAGACAGGTACTTGCATAACTTTTGTACACAAAAGCCATTCTAGTCCCATTCTACACACAACTCCCATTGACATTGTACTGAATGTGGAAATTGTTAGCACCATCAGAAGGTCAAAAACTATTGTAAATTCATAGACAAGGTCAGTATGAGAGAAAATAACTATGTGAAAATTATTACTAAGTGTATGCCACCAACAGCGTGCTTAATAGCCAAGTAGGAGACAAAGTCCAAAGAGCTTGCAGTGTAAGGCTCTCATCCTGCACAGATTGCCACACATGCTTAACTTGACGTGTGAGTCGTCCTACTGACTTCTGTGGCGTCTACTCAAGTGCATAAAGTTAAGCATGTGCATAGCCGTTGCAAGATGAAGCTTTAGGCACTGTACAGATGTGGGAGAGGGGTGGAAAAGGAATGCAACTGCAAAGTGAAATGTACTATTAGTTTCACAATTTGATTTATTTTCTTTTCTTTTCACTGCGGGAAGGACTGAGATTCTCTGGGATAAGATTGTGTTAAATTAGTGATTCCAGTAGGAATATTTATTTAGGCTACAATGTAATATGTTAACTTTATAGTTATAATCACCATAACAATATCTGTAACCATACAAAATAGAGTGGAATCCTCCCCACCCCCCAACAAACAGGGAAGTTGTGAATTCATCTTTTCCATTTTTTTTTAATTCTAAATTTTTAAAAATTTCTTCAAAATGTTGAAACGAAGAAGGAAAAACCCCCTATCTCTAATGCAAGGAACTTGAAAAAAAGGTGTTTGAATTTATTTATACTATAGATTAATCATGCAGATGCTGTTAAATGGACATGGAGAGTTAACCTGATACCTAGAAGCTTGTGGCTTTCACAGGCTTGCTTGTTTAATGCACTCTAATTTGTTTGTTAGCTGTAATTTTACTAAAATTCTTGAAGGAAAAGTGAGTTTCTTTCTGAGGGCCAAATTCACTGCTCTACTGGCATAAATGGATGCAACTCCATTGAAACAAATTAGAAGGGCCTTGCTTACACCAGCACTGAATTTGGCCCTGAGGTGACTAGTAAGAAATCATGAGGAATACTTCGTTCTTTTGGGAGAAAATGAATGGGAGCTTCTCGCAAAGATCACAGGTAAAATACAGCCCAAAATTAGACATCCCACTCAGACAGCCTTCCTCTTCCCACCCTGTCTCAGTCACCTGTACTCTTGCTAAATTGTTCCTGTGACAAAATTGGAACTGCTCTGTCATGATTTATGAACAGTGAGTGTTGACCTGGCTTTTGGGAATATATTGGTTTAGTTTAGTTGGTGGCTATAAAGAAAACAAGCAGGAAGGGAAGAAGATTGGCTCAGGATAAGCCACTTCTCAGCAAACACTTGAGTGCTGTTCAGTGGGCAATGCCCATACTCTTATAGCATCCATATTTTACCTCCTCCCAAGCCAACCTGCAAAACTAGTTTTGTCCAAAGGGACAAAGGCCAAGAATGCGAGAACAAAGCAACTCTGACAGTTTAGGAAGGGGTGCTCTCTGCAGAGAGACAAGTCGTTGTTTGGGGGAACCAGACTAGGATGCAGGCATTGGCTGGATTGTCTGAAGAAATTAGGCCTGACTAGGTGACCCTGAGGGGATGGTAAGCCTTTGGGTACGATGGACAGGTGTGGACTGTTTGTTGTCCTAAAATGCTTTTTCTCTACATGCTTTGTTACTATAAGTAAAATGAACAATACTCCGGTTTCAATAAGGCAGCTTTGTCACTATACACCACAGCCCACAGGCTCCTGAAGGGAAGAACCGTAAGTGCGGAACCCAGTCAGACCTGCTGGGTAAGCATGGTTGATTCCCAGGGTACTGAAGCCCAGGTCCCAGTCTGAGTGGGAGAACTGTAGAATTCCACCCTGGGATAGGTAAAGACATGAGGCCTGACACTTGAGCAGGTGCATTCAGAGAGACCAAAAAGGGAACAGGGTGCAGCTAGCCCTCCAGCCATGACCATTACAACAGTGATTGACCCCTAAGCTCTTTTGTATGTGTGTATGTGTGTGTTTTCTCATACGAAGGGTCACATTCACTGCTGATAGTGCAGCTCCACTGAAGTTAATGAACCTCTACATGTTTACGTCAGTGGTGAACTTGATTTCAAATGCAGCTTTGCTACACTGCTACAGAGGATTTCCGCAGCTGAATCTGATAATGGCAGTGGCCCATTCTAAACTGGTAATTGCTGTAGTTAACCAATTTTCACCACACTCCAAGCAAAGTTTTTAGTTAAAGGTAGCCCGTTTTAATTCTGAACTTCGTCCAGTACAGATTTAGTAAATGACCCTTGATCAAGTCTTAATAAGCAATGCAAAGTAGCTTAGCCTGAACACTATTATATATGCTCAGCAAGTTACTGTATATAGGCATGATTGCTAAAAGTAATGATTTTCCACACAGTTCCCACTGCAATCTAATATTGCAATACAGATTGAACAAACATATAGAATTTTAAATTGACCGCTATGTACAAAATTATATGGTACAAAGTTATTATAAAACATAATTCAGAAATAAAGCTCTGATTTCTTAACACAAAATACTGCAGGTTCCCGGTTTTAAAGCACAAATTGCATAACTATCTTTTAAACTGAAACAGACTCTAAACATTTTGTAGTTTGAGTCCAAGTGCCTTTGAGTGCATGCAGCAGGCAATAAATATTCAGAACCAGAGATTTGCCAAATAATATTAGTTTTAAATATTATGAATGGATCACCCTAGAAAAATCTCTTCCTGTTTCTTTAACAAAATAGATACTCTAGGCCCCAAACCTGCAAAGACTTATGCATGTGTCTAACTTTATGCATGTCAGAAGTTCCACTGAACTCCATAGGACTATTCACATGCTTAAAGTTAATGTGTGTTTAAGTCTTTGCAGGATCCAGGCCTTAGGACTTGTGTATATGGAGAGTTAGTGTGCAGCAAGCTGGAGTGCAGTGCCCCAGCCTGTCACGTGCACTAACAGGCAGTATGTACCCTCCGAATGCCCACTAGAAGTTCGGTAGTGCACTTTGATCTACTCCCATTTGAAATACGTAGAATACTGCCACAAACTGAAACTGGAGTAGATCAAAGTGCACCATAAAACTTCTAGTGTGTGGTACCAGGGTCCACATGACCAGTTAGTGTGCAGAAGGCCAGTGCACTGTACATTTGAACTTCAACTTGACACAAACTAACTCTTCATATAGACAAGTCCTTAGTGTTCAAACAGCCAGCTGTTCACTACAATACATTTTCCTTTAATAGATATCCCCTGTCTAAAACGATAGCAAGGGAAAGTATGTTAATCTGAATTGGGTCTTTTATTTGGTCCAACATCAGTTCCAATTGTTGGTAGGGCACTAGAATGGGAAGTAACAGATTTCCAATCAGATGCTGATGACAGTGCCTAGTTTTACCCATAATTCAGTTTTGGAGGCACTGCTGTCTTTAAAATGATTCATGGGGTAAAATGCTGCATTCATTACCCAGGCCATGGCCTCATTGTCTTCAGTAAGAGTTTGGCCTAGGAAGGGACTGCAGGATTTGACCCCAAATGAAGTTTATCAGAGGCCTATTCCTATCAGCCCTTGACACATGGAACTCCCATCAGCTTCCACAGAAGTTCTGGGCATGGAGCGTTTTCAGCATCAGACCTTGGCAGCATTCACATAAGGCACATTCTGAAGGTGCTCAAGTCTCTTGCATCTGGCGGTTATTTGCTGGATACACAGAATCCCCAAGGAAAGATTAGTGAAAGACCATTTTAGAAGAAACTTTACATCCCAAGATATTACTACAAACATGATCAGTAATGGAATTTCAACACTGTGAAACGTGCTTCCTAGAGAATGGCAGCATTATATGGATTTGTCAGCGTTTCACTGACTCCTCGTTATTTATTCTTCTGCTTTGTTGTGACACCTGCGGGAGAAAATATAAAACAATTACAACAGCAAAAAAGTTGTGGTCAGGTGTGTGTGTGTGTGTGTGTGTGTGTGTGTGTGCACGTATCCCGTACATGATGTACTAGTTGGGAAAATTGGTTTTAAATCCATCAAATAACCAGGTGCCCCAATGCACTTAAAAAAAAAAAAAGAAAGGGGAGGAAAAAAAAAAAAATAAAAAACTTAATATTATTTGTACTCTGAGATTCTAACTTTGTTTGAAGAGTTTAACCATCTTCTTTGTTCTGGAGCTGGTCACTGCTAATAATTCAGCACAGTACTTTAAACAATAAATGTCATGTTCTCCATGCTGAATGTTGGAATATACTAGGTTTTCAGCTGTATGCTAGTTAGACACAACTAGCTTAGGGACTAATATTGCTTCCTCTGCAGGAGCTGGCAGTTTTGCCATTGACTTGGGCACTGATCCCACAAGTAAATCTGAGGAGACAGACGTCCCACTGCCTTCACACAGAGCTGCATGCAGGCATAGGGTTCTTCTAGCACAGAGTAACTTGCATAAATGGGATTGTGAATGGAGCACAGTGGGGCCTTTGGTTTTAGCATAGTGATGGTGAAAGACATTTAGCATGGACTTAACTGAATCATCCCAGTGTGTCAATTTCCAGAAAGAAATTTCCAGAAAGAAAACACCCAAATTCCAATGTTGAGGTGAGTAGTACCATTGAAGACAATGAGGTTACTCTTGTGAGTTAGGCACTTCAGGAAGTGTTTGCAGGATTGGAGCTTTAATCTGTAAATGTTAAGGTGCTGTCTAGCTCATTGACCAAACAAAACCTCCTCCAGGTCTCATGCATATTTTACAAATATGGACACCACGGCTAAAGATGTACACATCCACAAGAGTGAATAATTAGATTCTAGTGGCAGATGAGAAAATTTAAGACCATAAGAAGCACTGAATCTGTTGTAGAAGACAAGATGGGTTGATAGCCCCCTAGAATTAGAAAACAAAAATGACCCAACATGAGTTATCCTAATTTTTTTTTTAAAACTGAAGAAATACAGTCCTTATGGAAAAAAGAGCAGGTCAAGGTGTATATGTAACAGATAATATATAGTGTATGGGACTTTTATTTTTTTTTACTTTTATTTGTAACCCTTGATCAATTGAAATCTACTTCCTCCCTGATTTATTTTCTTTTTTCCCTCCTCCCTTTTGTGACTACACTGCTTTGTTCAAACAGAAACAAGTGCCAAGCACAGGCACTCATCTTTTACTATTTGAAGAACAAAACTGTACTTTTGGGGGCGAGTAGCATCATTTGGCCTTTACAAACAGCTATTTCAATAAAATTGGGGTTAATGCAGGAATCAGGTTCTATGGCTGGTGATATGCAGGTGGTCAGCCTAGATGATCATAATAGTCCCTTTTGGCCTTAAAATCTGTGGTTCTGTGAAACAAGGTAAATTTGAGCACATCAAAGCCTGTCTTTATTCTACTGCTGTTGCAGATGCACAACATGCTAAAAACTGGGAGAGGTTCAGCTCTGATCTTCCAACTGGATTTGGGCAGGGGGGAGCTTGTGCCCACACTGAGCTCCTTCTAAAAAACGACCGTGTCCCAAATGAAAATCAGTTCCCCTGATTCCACGCAAATTGTGCTTCCTTGCCTTACAAAATCAAAGGCTGTATTTCAGTAGAAAGGAAGGGGGGATGGAAATCCAGCTACTTTTTCTCCAGAAGGTGACGATGACTAATAGCACAACTCATCTCCTAGTTTTACTGGGTTTGTTCCCACTCTCTTTTACAGGGAACGTTCATTGCCTAGTGAAGTAACAGTGCTGCTGCTTGTACTGAAAGGTGGGAAGCATGAATCGGATTTACAGACAGACTAGTGAGGAAAAAGCTGCGGATAGAGGCTGTAGGACAACAGAAGCAAAGGGCTTTTCTCATCTACTCCTCTTTAATTCACACAAGCAAATAACTGTTAAGACACCAGATAAAGAAGGAAAGGAAAGAATTTCAGAGTTAGGGGTTCACTGTAGCATGTTCTTCCAATACTTGACCACCAGAGGGCACTAACAGACAGACATGAAGGTGGGACCCTATCATAGCTAGAATTTTGGGACACCCTCAGCTGTGAATTGCCTTTACTTTTACTGCTTTCTTTCAGGACATTTACAGCGCTTACAGGGCTTGATCCAAAGCCCACTGAAGTCAGTGGAAAGACCCACTGATTTTCAACCAATTTTGGATCCGACCCTTAATGTAAATTCTTGTGTGTGGCTTTCTTGTGTATTCCAAGGCCAGTCCAAAAAACCTGGATGTGCCTCAGGTCTTGTCTGAGAAGAGATGTTATAAACACACGTACGGTGATCTCTCTCCAAACATCGTTAATGTTCTTGACGCTACTCTTCTGACATAAGGGGGCTCAGTCCCTGATACCCTGACCTGTGTCTCAAATGTGAATTATTGCTACTTTTTGCTGCTGCTCCTGTCAATCTTTGGCGACTGGATTCTTAAAGACAGCACAGCAGCTTCCCGCCTCTTTCAGGTGTGAAGCTGTAGAGAAGGGGTGTGACTGGTGCAGGAGGAGCCAGGAGTCAGAACACTAGGATGGTCACTCGCACATGCCCAGAACACCGGACATTCCAGCACTTCCAGGAACGTCGCATGACCTCGTCCCCTCGGCATGGCTTTGTGTGCACTGCATGGGGGGGGGGGTCATTTTGAAGAGCACGTTGCCCAGCTCTCGCTGGTGTGACCTTGCACTCATGCTGGTGGTGGAGGCAGAGAAGCACACTCTTCATTATGGCATCCTCAGTGTGATACCGGAGACAACCACATCTGGTTTTGTCTCAGTACCACATGGGGGACAAACAACCCCAAAAGAGGATGAAATGACCTTCTTACAGAACACATAGTGCTCTGGCTAATCCTTGGCTACCAAAATGGCTGAGAGAAATTGGTTCCTGTCCTGATAAATTAGAGCAGCCTTCAGGCTACTGATGCAGAAGGAAAAAAAAAAAAAAGTCTTAGCAGAGGTTCCCATGGCTTCTCTTTCACCACCAATAGATGACTGGCTAAGAGGAATATTAGATCCTGGGGATCACTAGGGAGGGATACCCAATATTCGTACATAGCAAGAAACGGCAGACGCTGTAGAATAAATACATTTTGTTCATGAAATCAGACATTCAGAGAGTTCAGATTATTGGTTCATTTCATTATGACGGCTTATGATTAGAATGCAAAGGAAAACATGTAACTATGCAATTTCAGTACATGTAACTATGCAATTTCCCTCCTGTCCCCTTAATATAAATAAAGGCAAACCTTGGAAAATGGTTTTGGGGCACTTGATAGAGAGTTTCAGAAAAATTGGGTTTACCCATAGCTGCACTGGTGTCTCAAACAAAGCAACATTAGGCCCCAATCCTGGGCTATGTTTACACTAGCACTTTTGTTGGTAAAACTTATGTTACTCGGGGTGTGAAAAAATATCACCCCTCCCCCGAACGACATAACTTACACTGACAAAAGCGCCGGTGTGGACAGTGCTACGTCAGCAAGAAATGGGCTCCTGCAGACATAGCTACCGCCGGGTGGCTTAATTATATCGACAGGAGAGCTCTCTCCGGTCAGCGGCTACATGGGGGATCTTACAGTGGCGCAGCTGCATCGGTATAGCTGTGCCGCTGTAAGCTCTCTAGTGAAGACATGGCCCTGGAAAGATGTATACATGTGCTTAACTGTAAGCAGCTGAATGCTCCATTCACTTCCATGGATTACTCATGAGCCTAATTTTAAGTACATGCACATGTTTTGCAACACCAAGACCTTAGTGCTGACTAGCACATAAAATTTGGATTTCAGTTGGGCTGGTAGTCCTGTATGAGCAGAATTTTCCCCCTGGTCCACTATTCTGCTTTAATAATTCCAATAAACCTGTTAAAACAACTCTGTAATGGATAAGCCCTACCCACAACCGTGAGCCTAGGGGAGGAGCAGTCGCCTCTTTCACAGGATGAATGTACTGAAGTTACATTTTTACAATTTTTGGAAAAAATAATAATCAGACAAAAGCAAGGCCTCCCGTTATTCTAGCAAACTGGATTTGCTTGGTTTAAGTAATTAACACCAGACTTTACGGTCTCTGCTGGGAAAGGTAGATTGGCTGCTGCTGACGTAAAAGACAGACATGTGGGACCTGATCCTGCAGCACTGGGAGTATTGCCACTGACTCCAATGGGGCAGGATCAGGCTCTTGGACAGCAAAAATCACAAACACAAAATCAGATATTAAGGCAAAAAGCTTAGCTGCCGTAATGATTACTGATGGCATCATAAAGTGTAAAGTCCCAGTGCTGGGGTTAGTTCACATAAAAGCAACGTTGCGTGTTTACATACCTCACTGTATCACACAACGACTTTTGGTTTTATTATCTCCAGTATCAATGTCAACCTCTGCTTTTAAATAAAAGAGAGACACTAAATATATCTGCCCGCTGTGACATAAAGGTAACAACATGGAACGTCGTAGGACAGAGACTGTCCTCTAGGAAACATGATTAGTTTATATTTCTTGGGACTAAAAACTATTAGTTTCGTCAATAGCTAAACAGTCTGAAAACTTAAATGATTAAATTGGGCTTGGGGCCGATGGTGGCCACCCAAGGAGTAAAGTGGAGTAAAAGCCCCATCCCCATCCCGCTGCATGGGAAACACACCATTTGATCATGTCTCCAGCCATGGAGGTGGGAAGAGCAGGAGTTGCATGCCCGATATTCTCTCTCCTTTACTCATGAGGGAGGAGAAGGGGTGGAGAGTTGGAAGAGGCATGGGTCTACCACTATCCTTCCCGTCTGCTGACCAATGGAGCTGGCGTGGCACATGGGGTTTGGGGCAGTAATGGGAATACACTGTGTCAGCCCTCTAGAAGATACAACAAATCTCCCCATGAATCCCAACTGAGACGGAGAACTCTGGAGCAACTGTGCCAGAGAGTCCCCCAGTCCTTCCTGGGGCGGCACAGTTACACGTACTTGGGGCTACATCTAAAAGCTGTCTCTAGCCTTAAGAACGTGATCTTTTGCACAAGCATCAGTGTGATTTCTCCCCCCCCCCCCCAAGCTGTGTGCTTGAATATTTAAGACTAAGGCCTGGTCCACACTAAACCCCCACTTCGGACTAAGGTACGCAAATTCAGCTACGTTAATAACGTAGCTGAATTCGAAGTACCTTAGTCCGAACTTACCGCAGGTCCAGATGCGGCAGGCAGGCTCCCCCGTCGATGCCGCGTACTCCTCTCGCCGAGCTGGAGTACCGGCATCGACGGCGAGCACTTCCGGGATCGATTTATCCCGTCTAGACAAGACGCGATAAATCGATCCCAGAAGATCGATTGCCTGCCGCCGAACCAGGAAGTAAGTGTAGACGTACCCTAAGGAAGGGTCACACTGAAATACACCTGAACTTTTGTGCAGAATACGCTTGTAACTGATTTCTTGGGGAAAACCTCATAAAAATTGGGTGATGGGAGTGCGGGGAAGAGTTTTAATCATACTTATATTAAAGATACATTTATAAATAGTTTATATGGGGTTAACAAATGATTAATAGATGTTATAATGAATGGTTAGTCTCTACTATAGTAAATGGTTAACCCCAGCTTATAGAATCCAATGGATCAGTTAGTTGCATCTAACTCTAATTTACAACTATCTGTAGCACCTTCGACAGATGTGCTACAGATTCATGTGTGCAACATGCTTTTTATTGATCCGTTAATCATTAACCCTTTATAAACTACTTATACATGCCCCCAATGGCTAGTGGGACCAATGTTTTTGCATAGTTTAACCAGTCTCTGATTTTAAAGGACATCTGTATTAAACAGTGTTTTTCCTGAGGATGGTAAAACTCCTATTGACTTCACTGGTGCAGGACTGGACCTTAAGAGGAAGGAATACTTCTAATTAAAAAATCCTAGAGAGCTGAAGATGAGAACTCCAGTCTCCTGTATTTAGCTAAAGGGTTGTTAATCTCCATATGCTGCACTGAAATGTGTTACCTGACTGGCTTTTGCTCTGTCGTCTCTTCTTTTTCCGTTTCCCAGACCCTCTTTGCCTTTCCTTGTCAGTAAGTGCTTGCGCTGGAGGGACTGTTGCTGAGCAAGACGAATCAGTCACTGGCTCTTCTGAGAAGGATTTCTCCTGAGAGGTATCCAGCAATGAGTCTGCGGCAGGGTCATTTTCTTTCTCTGTCTTCCTTAACTCCGTATGCTGAGAACTCGACTCTTTGGTTGGAGTCATTTCAGCACCGTCAGGTGCTAGTTCAACTCTGGTTTTAGCCTCGTTCCCAACTGCATCACTTGGTTGTGACGTTTGTTCATTAGACACCGGGCCTCTTTCTACCCGAGTGGGTCCGGACTCACTGTTTTTGTCTCCTGAGATGGATCCATTCAATTCCTCTCCTAAACCAGTACAGTTGCCTGAAGAGCTGCTTGCAAACTTTATAGTGGTTCCTGGGTTCAATGGCGCAAACACAATGGGGTTGTATTCCACGTTCTCTTGAAAGCTACACGAGCCGTTGATCTGCTGAATACTCGCTCCACTGTTGGGTTGATGGGTTCCCTCAACTTCAGTTGAATGTTGGAAGCTCCTCTCAGTACAGGGCTGTTGTGGCGAATTTCCTCCAGCTCCGTCTTTAGGAAGCACTTCGTTGGAAGTTGGTGTCTCTTTGACAACTTTACCGGTAGCCCTTGCAAGGGCAGCAGCTTCTGAGGCAGGAGTGTTTTCTGTGTGCTGACTGCCATCCTTTCGCTTGGTCTCATAGGCGCTTTCCTTCGCTGCTGCTGCTGCTTCTGAAGCATCAACACTCTTTCCTTTAAAGGGACAACACAGGGTCAGGCACAGTTGTTCAGTCTAGCATGACCGTCAACCAACAGCAATGGGTCGTCTGAGTGTAATCTGACCACCTGCAATGTGCCCCGGGCTAATGGCTCAGGGCAAAGGGGCCAATGAATTTATAATGGCCACATGCGGTCAGGAGCTTTTTATGTCTAATCCAAAAACTAGCCACTCCCATAGCTCAGTGACCCCTAACATCACATGGGGGCATTTGGTTCAGAACCCAGACTCCCACACAGCAAAGCACTTCAGCACATACTTAATTTCGAGTATGTGCTTAGCTCCCATTGACGTTAATCAGTTTCATTCCCACTGAAATCAATGGAATTAAACATGCTGCACAGGAGCGGAGCTAAGGGCCAAAGAATTCCCAGCTGGCATCATGGGACTGATCCTGCTGTCCAAGCCTCGTTGCAGTAAATGGCTCTGCCTGAGACAGGCCTTGAGAACTGCCCCCCATTTGGGCTTCTCCCATCCAAGTACTAACCCAGCCTGACCCTGCTTTTTAAAGGGATTGCAGGAAGGCTGCAATTTGCAAGTTATCTCTTGTGGCAGGCCAGGGCGATGCCCTCCAACAAGATCGTTGGCTGGTTTACGTCTGGGAATCGTGCCCAAGTCCCTCGGAAAATGGGACTTAGTCACTTGCACACTTTTTTGAAAATGGTCCCCCTTGTCTATTGATTAAATGCAACAATTCAAAGAAGAGAAGTTCCCGTGTATGTATTTGTTTTACTACAATATTTGCAGAAGGCTGGAGGTTAATGGTTTCAGGTATGGTTGGGTCTTTGGTCTTACCAGGCTCTCTCTCCTTCAGGGTTTCGGCAGGTGAGACTTTAGGAGCAGTGTTCGGCTCACTCTTGTTCTTCACCGTTTTCCGCAACTGGAAACCTTTCCTTATGTCGGCCAGCAGGGCATCAATAACGCACACCTCCTCCTGCTTCACGGCCCCTTTCTTAACTAGTGTTTAAACAAAAACGGGGAAATGGCTAACGTCGCACTCCTGCAGTGATAGTCGAAAGCGGTGGGGTTACCACCCAGCGTATAGGCTGGGGAGACAAGGCCTGATTTTCCATTGCCCTGCCCCTTGCGTAATCACCCGTTCCAGTGCAAAGTGGGTGTCAAACATTGCCACTCTGATCTGGCACCATTGTACACCCACTGAACTAGTGTAAACGACTATGGAAGGCGAAGGGCAGCGAAGAACCTGGCCCAGAGCCCTGGCCAACCAGGGTCGGCACCTCTAGTATTCTCTCCCCTTTGACCTATGCCAAAGTACACCTGTGGCACCCTGCAGGCCAAGGCCTTTACATGGCTCCTGTTCTGTATCTTGAATTTTATTGAAGGTGAGGGAGGGGTAATCTTGTTTCTCTCCTTTGCTGCTATCTGCTGCACGGTGGTAAGGGGCTTCTTTACCGCACCCAAAAGCCTTCAGCCATCGAACACTCAGAAATCTACGCTGAATGATTATTATTGGAACATTAAGGCAGGAAGAGTTGGGAGCTTCTATCAGTCCTCACCTGGCTGACTATGGATTGTATGCAGTGCTGTTGTAGCCAGGTTGGTCCCAGGATATTAGCGAGACAAGAGGGGGGTGAGGTAATAGCTTTTATTGGACCAACGTCTGGTCCAATAAACTTCTCCATCCAGACCTGAAGAAGAGGTCTGTGTAAGCTCGAAAGCTTGTCTCTCTCCCCAACAGAAGTTGGTCCAATAAAAGATATTACAATCCATAGAGAGACAAGGTGGGTGAGGTATGTACATCTCCTTTTAAAGAAACCCTTTCAAATACTCACTGATCTTCCCATTGTCTCCCTTTTGTCTCTTAGCGTCTTCCTCTTCCAGCTGTTTCTTCCTTTTTTCTGCCTTTGCAGCTTGTTCCTTCCTGTCCTTGTTTTCCTGGAGCCAGAGAAGAGTCACAGGGGATGTTTGGTTAAATATCTGGTAGCAAAGCCACCTAAAGGGAAGATGATTCAGTCTATTCACAGCTTGTGGCAAAACAAGGGAAAAATCCTGGCTCCTCCCTCCCAGAGAGATCCAACAGGCAGCTGGGAGCTGTGTGCTCCCCCATTGAGGCGTGAAAGGCAGTGAGTGTGCTTGGCCGGCGCTCTATCCCCATCCCCCAGTGTGGCATGGGGACGGGCAGCGACTGGATCCATTGTCCAGACTCCCCATATACAGGAGATGGACAGCAGGCTGAGGAATCTCCCCGGACTGGCTGCAATGGGCTCTGAAACCCTTCCCCAGCTGCTGCAAAACCCTCTTTGAGCCAAACCTGGTTGCTTGGGCTGGACTCAGTGATCGGTTTCTGACCCACTATAAATCCACAACTTTTCTACAAACTTATCCTGGAAGAGAGACCGTCCTGGGTCCATCACTCAAACTCTGGGTTAATGCCAACCTCTGGCCTAGCAGCTCTAGTTTGGTAGTGCAAAGCTCACTGAGCTCCATCTTCACTCGGCAAAGGGGTTCCTTCGTCAGTGCACATCGCAATCTGAAAGCTCCCTGTAGATCTTAGTCAGATCCCCAAGCTGGCTGTTTCAGTACCACACCCAGAACCCAGTAATGTCAGTGGCAAAAATCCCATGGACTTTAGCAGGGGAAGGCCCTAGTTCAGGAATCTGACCCTCAGGTTCATATCTTCCAATGTGATCAGATGGTGCAAAGTGGATAGATTCCAGCTAGAAATGGCAAGTGGAGAACCCTTCTTGCAGTCCTGCCCTCCTGGCTTAGGGGACATGCTGAGAGATGGATGGAATAGGGCAAGGAGCATGGTGGGGGTCGGCTGAGGGTATGGCAGAGCAAGCTTTGTTACGTCAATTCTCCATTGGCATATGGTCCATCAGGAACCTTATGCCCGTGGAGAAGTTAGAGCAGCCACTTGGTTGCTCTAATTAAAGTCAGGGCTGGGCCAATGCTGAATCAGAGGGTCATAATGAGCTCCTTGATGGCCCTGCCCTCACCCCCTGCACCAAATGGAGCTCGGATCTAAGGGAAAACCAGGTCCTATATACTAGCTGAACTGATGCATGTGTTGCAGCACCTGGATCCTACTACATAATATTCACAAATGCAAACCTTTAGTGCTCTAATGAAGAGATCCCTGAAGGTTTTCATGGTGCTAAATATATCTTCTAATGACAACTTGTTTGCATCTTCACAGAGATAATTTGCAAGTTCCCCTTTCTTCCTTTCAATGATTTCAAACTCCTCCTCCAACTTCTTTGATGCATTTATGCTGTCCTGAAATGCATTTAGGCCAAGTTACAAAGCACTGTGCAAGACATTGCAAGGAAAGATTAATGGAAAAAATAGTTAGAATGACAATGTAACAAAAGTTCAGTTCCAAGGCCCAGATCCTTGGCTGTGGCCCAGGAGCTCCTGGGGCAGTTAGGAGAAGAGGTGCAAAGATGGCTTGGGTTCTCCCTTATCCCTGCTCTCTGCCTTTCTAGTCAGTACCTGCTGGTCATGGCAAAAGAACACAAAAGGGTTGTGTGGCATCCACATTCGTTTTCAAATATGAGAGGCGATGAGGGGACAAATGTTTCCACTCTTCACTCCTCCCTGAACATGCTGCCTTTGCAGAGTCTTGGCTCTCCTCTCCTCAAGTGAGGGCACTCCTTTCACTGACCTGGATGGGCGTCTCATACTGGGCTTTCACGTCGTCTTTCGAGGACAAAACCTTTCGTTCAAGTTCCAGCAGCTTCTTTAAATTGGAACTGGATTCCGCACGTATGATTTCAAGGTTAATTCTGAAAATGAACACAAAGCCGCAGGAGATTAAAAACAGTTCACTTTTTGGAGGGCTGGGCTAGCTAAAAGAGAGGAAAAACAGCAATGATTTCCCACTCGCCTCCCCCTTTTCTGTTTCCCAGTGACTCTATGGTATGAAGCACAGAACTATGCCTGTGTAATCCGAGGTAGCACCACAAGACAACACGGTCTAGTGGTTAGGGCACTGGACTGCGTTAGGAGACATGAGTTCCATTCCTAGTTCTGCCACTGATCTGCTGTGCCTGGGACAAATCACTTCACTTATCTCATTGCCTCTGTCTGACTGGCCCATCAATCGCCGAGCACGAGGGGGCCCTGCTCTCAGTTGAGGCCCTTAGATACTACTGGAGCATAAGCTTTCGTGGGTGAATGCCCACTTCATCAGATGCAAGACTTGCGTCTGACGAAGTGGGCATTCACCCACGAAAGCTTATGCTCCAATACTTCTGTTAGTCTTTAAGGTGCCACGGGACCCTCTGTTGCTTTTTACAGATTCAGACTAACACGGCTACCCCTCTGATACTTAGATACTACTGTGATGCAAATAATTCATGAATTTAGAGTGGGCTCTTTGAAGTGCCTCAGTGACTTAGGAGCACAACTCCATTCACTTTCAATGGTGTTTGTGTTTCAATGGGGCTGTGCTCCTAAGTCACTTAAACACTTTAGGGTGGGCTTTTCAAATCCCCCGATAGTACAAAGCATCACCAGCTAGAATGGATCATGCTAATATTTGCTCACAATTATCTGGCTGTGCAAATTCTCAGGGGACATTTGTCCACATGTATCTTGCTGTGCTTAATGTTTTGTTCTCAAGAGCAAAAGGGTCACTAGTGTAAGAGAGATGAAAAATCAAAACAGTCCCCAAAAAACCTTCAAGCAACAACACAAACACCTGTGTTAACAAGCCAGCTCTTTGCCAGCCCCATGAGGAGAACACCCCGCAGCAGCACTTATGAAGAGAAGACCAGGTCTAACTGGACTCTTGTGTATTATACATTTGGAAATGGATACATACAGACTTTAATTGTTTGGCTTCACCAACACATTAGAGAGACTAATCTACAGATTCAGGGCTCTTCTGAAGCTGCTAAGCTATTGTCCCTGAATACAGCAGTGACAGGTACTTCAGCACTGCTTATAGGTAGCTAGGATTAAAAAGATAGAGCCTCCTTGAACTCCATACCTCTTCTGTGAATGCCTGCAAAGCAGAATTAATTGAATGCAGCCCAATTTCGGACCCTACTTACTGTCTTGCTTATTGCTGAACCGTGCATATAGCCAATTTGCATTTTAAAACGGCTCCAGCATTTGCAAAAGGAAATCCTTTGGTTAAAACTAATTGAGTCTCTATCCGGTTAATGAATGGATTATAATAACAGCCATTTATGTCTTAATTTCTTGAATCTGGGTGGTTCTGCTTTTTTTAATTTAAAGTAACAGGTTCACAATCCTACCCGGCTGCCTTTGAGACACATTCAAGGTCCTTGGGAAGCTGCAGGAGGTCTGTGTGACTTTTCTCTACTTCCTAAAACAGAAACGTTTGTTATTTTTGTATTTATTTTTCGTACGCAGCGGGTGCACAGTGGGGGGGCGGAGGGGAAGGGTTACAAACAGAGGGAATGACTGGCGTGCGCGATGTTTAATTCCCACCCCTCCCCCCGCTGTTTGTTTAGCAGGATTCAAAAGGGGACGTCTGTTTCTATGGTTGCCATGACTATCCAGAATTATAAGAGTACGGATTAAAAAACTATACAAGAGTATTGCAAGGGCTATGAACCCTCATGCCTCAGGGCGGAGAGCGATCTCTAACTGATGGGTGGTTAGGAAGGAACTTTCCCAGTAGATAGATTATCCCAGAGTCTCCTACTGCAGGGTCTTCCTCTGAAGTGCAGGGTCCAGGCCGCTGCTGGAGGCAGGATATTGGACTAAAGGGACCATTAGTCTGATCCAGTCTGGCAATTCTTATGGGTCTGTGTATGCATTAAGAATATCTGTGTCCTAGTTTATCTGCCTGCCTAACTATCTACTAATTTATACAACCATCTTTGCCACAGTGTCCGAGCACCTCAGCATAGCAATTAGGAGTCGGCTAATTTTTTTTAGGTGTCACGGTAAAAGTGGGATCCCCAAAAAGGGTTTGAATGCACTGGATTGGCAAGGGAAGAGCTCAATGAACAGGGCAATAAGACTGGCATCACTGGCAGAGGAGAGGGAGAAGTGGTAAGCTCTGGGTGGCAAGGACTGGTTTTTTTGGTTCTTTGTTCAGCGCCTAGCACAATGGGGCCATGACTAGGCATCCTAGCCACGATGGTAATACAAAAAATAAATGTAAGGGCAGCTAAGCAGCAGTGAGAAAGCTATGAAAGATCTTGAAGCTTGGGCAAGAAGCTTGAAGGTGATCTGGTAGAGAAGGGAGAGCCTGTGGAGCACGCAAACACTGAAGGTGACTTCACTGGAGCTACGGGCCAGGAATATGTTCCTGGCCGCTGCATTTTGTATGGGTTGGAGTGGGGTGAGATGGGCATCAAAGAAGCAAGAGAGGAGGAACTTACAGAAATCAAGGTGGAAGATGACTAAGGCTTGGATGAGATTCTTTGCTTTCTCAACTCTTTGTTTAGAATTCTTTTAAAGCTAGGTAGCACCTGCAGCCTAAGGACTATGAGTCCAAGCAAATCAAGCAATCTCTCCAGTACTATGCAATTATAACACCGACAGACCCCGGTCGTCGACGGGCAGGATTGAACCTGGGACCTCTGGAGCTAAATGCATGAGCCTCTACTGCATGAGCTAAAAGCCATATGCCTCTTAGCTAAGGCTGTAGAGCAGACTCATTAACCTCTCTCTAAGTCAGGGGTTCTCAAACTGGGGGTTTATAATGGTGTTAAATATATAAAAAAGTGTTTTTAATTTATTAGTGGGGTCGCACTCCAGGGCTTGCTGTGTGAAAGGGGTCACCATTACAAAAGTTTGAGAACCACTGCTCTAAGTGGTCTTGGTGCCACTAGATGGGACAGAACACCACACCCAGGAGGTGTGCAGGTTACACAAACCAGTGAGGAGCATATGAACACAGGCACATAACATCAACTGAAGGTATGGCTGGAAAAATAGTTCATGTCCAACCAAAATTCCCAAAGGAAATTGCAGTAGTACCTCCAGAATATGGTGGAGCAGAGTAATACGGGTTTGGTTTGCTTTGGTTTCAGTTAGTTTGAGTAAAGTGCTAATTTTAAAGCCATCGGCATCTCCAGTGTGACTTCCCTGAAAGACAGAAAGAAGAGGCAGGAATAACCCATGTCAAACTCAAACACTCTGTATTTATAACCTATACATGCAAAAGAGAGGAAAAAAAGTTATTTTCATCTATAAAATGTAGTGATCTCTTAAAAACAACAACAACAAAAAAAGATTTCTTACATAGTTAAGAAAGTTTCCAACTTTGAGAATCAGTTGACAAAAAACTGGCAGGCGATGGGTCGTTAGAAGATCTGAAAAATAAAGATATCCTTTACATGAGGGTCAGCTTCAAAACTGAATGTTTCCCAAATTGGATCAGAATTTCCATTGTACCAAGGCAGGATTTCCATAGTCTAGTCTAGAACCTCAAAGAACCTCAAACACCAGAGTTACGGACTACAAGCAAGACACCATGTGAAACTGGAAGTAACCAATCAGGCAGCAGCAGAAACACTTCCCCCCTTTCCCCCAAAAGCAATACAAGCACAGTATAGTATTTGCATCTTAAAGGTAAGCACATCTGGGCTGCCTGTCCCCACCCCACATGCTGGGCAGCCACTTACAGCTAAGAGGTGAAGAGGCCGGGGCTGCCAGCCCAAGGCAGCCAGAGCCAGCAAAGTAGGAGGGAGCTCAGCTGCTGCCAGCGCCTGGCCTGGAGTGTCAGCTGCTGGATCTGGAGCCCGAACTGCGCTTTGTTCAGAGTTACGAACATCTTAGAGTTACAGATAACCTCCATTCCCGAGGTGTCCATAACTCTCAGGTTCCACTGTATTTGTAACCCAAACGCTGCTGCATGCCGTCTCATGTGGGAGAAGACTAACAGGAAATAGACTCTAATCAGACCTGTCTAGCTTCATTAGTTGGGCTGAGTAAAAGGTTTGGTTGATTTGTTGGACATTTTAAAGTTCTTTCATCTTTATTAGGACAATATATAGAGACTGTTTCTCTCCATTTACACTAGTGTTAGACTGCTGTAACTCTATTGACTTGAATAGAATTACTCCAGATTTACATTGGTGTAAGTCAGAGAATCAGGCTCCAGCATTTTTATCTTAAAAAGCACTTAGGCCTGGATCCTGAAAGGCGTTTGGGCTCCTCACTTTCATTGAAATCAGTGGATGTTAGGTAGGGTTACCATAATCCAGCAAGCAAAAAAGAGGACGGGAGGAGCCCCACCCCTGTCCTGCCCTAGCCCCGCCCCATCCTGCCCTAGCCCCGCCCCTGCCCCTCCCACTTCCCCCCTCAGAACCCCCAACCCTCCCCCCGCTCCTTGTCCCCTGACTGCCCCCTCCTGGGACCCCTGCCCCTAACTGCCCCCCAGGACTCCACCCCCTACCTAAGCCTCCCTGCCTCTTGTCCCCTGACTGCCCCCTCCAGAGACCCTCCCCCCATCCTAACTGGCCCCCTAGGACTCTACCCCCTACCTGTACCCTGACTGCCCCAACCCTTATCCACACCCCCACCCCCAGACAGACCCCTGGGACTCCCACGCC